GTTTTAGAGAACACAATCTAGGGCCACCTGGGCTATTCAAGGTTGGGAACCACTGCTACAGAAGAAATAATAACTCTCTTTCCATAAGATATAAAGGTCATAGGAAGGTTTTTGGGTGGTCCAACTCAAAAACCTTACTTCTAAGGAAACGGAAACAGATTCTCAAGATTCCATCCAGCAGTTCCTTTGGCCTTGAGGATGGCGGGTTGAGTAACAAATGTTCCCATCTCTACTCATCACAAGGAAGGCACATAGAAACAGTTATGGGATTCCTTGGAGCCAGGCCTAGCACCTAAAGTGTTAAGGATAATGATTCCAAATGATTGCCTTTGATCTAAAGCAGAGGTGGGCAATGTCCGCGGGGTCTTGAGGGATGTTTTTCAGACTGGCCATCTGCTTGGCTGCTGTACTCCCCCCAAAGGGGTATGGCCAAAGGAAAAAAGTAGGCTGGGTTTATTTTTAATATTTCTTTTTTATATATATAGCTAAAACTAGATTCAAAATACAGTAGTTCAAATATAGAATGATTTATATTTTATTACTTATTTTTGCATCTTTTTCCTGTATAATAAAATTTTACCAAAACCAAATTAATAATCATGCTATTTAAATAATTTATTTTTACTTCATTAAATATTTTTGCTTCAAAAAAATAAATGTTTTGTCTACTAAATCAAGCTCGGTTATTACAGAAAGCATGATAAAATTCATTCTGTAATTTCAAATATAAATAATTGAGTTCAGTTTTACTTAAGGAAGTAATGAAAACAGATTAACAGGGCTGAGAGTGAAAGAAAATCCATCAATAGTATTTAATAAGACGCAGCTCTGTTATTCTCAGATGGTTAATAATCTCCCAGCACCACTGAGACAAGGGAAAAAATGGCAAACTGTCTTTAAGGTAGTGACTGAGCCATGCTCTCTTGTACACTATACATAACATACAGGCAGCAGCCTATGAGAAAAGGCCTAAAATGTCACTTGATTAAATAAGTACTTAAGGTTATTTAAGTGACATTGACACCATAACAAAAAAGACACACAACAAGAACCACAACTCTGGTCTACGATAAATAAGATGGAAAGAACAGAGGTACAGTACATGCTGGGGAAACTTGTGTAAGGAAAGTTGTGTAACTGAAGATTTCCACTGATGGAAATACCTTCTCAAGCCTTATTAAAACTCCTCTTTAGATTCAGAGTTTGGCAGCAAACTGCAATGGCAATTTTCTTAAAAACAGTTTCGCTGGTGAGTTCTGAAAGGGGCGCTAGACAGTAGCAAAAAAGGATTCGGGGTTTCGTGTGGGTGGCCTCACGTGCTGCCCCTTTCCCACCCTGTTCTAAAGGAAAACCTGGTAAACCACTTCAATGGTAGCAATACAAAATGTTACAAATAAATTCTTGCTCCACTGGTTTTTAATTCCTAAGGGCAGAAACAGTAAAGAAAACCTACTGTGTTTAAGGCAAAAAAACAACAGATGGGTTATTTAAGTACAAAAATGTACTATCTGAAATAGTGGCAGATGCCAAATGACAATTCTCTGTCCGTTGCTGAGACTACCATAGGTCAAAGATGTGTAATAATTTGTTTCATTGGAAATAAATGCACCATTTGTAAAGAGTCAAGGAGAAAGAAAACCCACCAGCATGTGATGAAACAAGACACACAAAGCATCTTATTTCACGTCAATATAATTCATTACACCTCACCTGCTTGCCAACATTTTTTATTGCCAGCTGTTCAGGTGTCATCTTATCTTCTTCTTCCACAGCCTGTGAAAGAAATGTAAAAAAGGTTAGCATTTGAGATCTTACTAATTCAAAAGCCATTTAAAAAATCTTCTGTCAAACTGAAGCGGAAATATCATTTTTAGGATTACCTATCCAATGAAAAAACAAACAAACTTCTATGATTCAACGATGGCATCAAGCCACACATATCATAGCAACAGCCAAGCACCATGTTCTTCCCCTCCAGACAGTTGTTTCACTGCTTTCCAAGTGCAGAGTGTGGTTACTAAGTCCATGGAGTGTAGGGTTTCATTAAGAGAACATGAACAATGAACAGAACAACAAGAAAACAAAGACTTTATGGGAAGGACTTAATTTTGGAGAGAAAGGGAGACAGCAGAGGAAGTAACAGGGTATGAACAAATGTGACTGGCTTTTACTTGTGTCACATGATGAGCAATAAGCCCCTTTCCCTATCCTAGGACTACAGAATGGAAGAGTTCAACTAGCTTTGTAGACTTATAGGCCAGACATGATGGCATATAACAACAACAAGAAGGTTGGACGTGTGAACTAAGATTTTTGGAGGCTAAATCATTGGGAAGCTAAATGATTATGTGGACAATGGTTACAACACAGCAATTGCTCTGGAAAATGCTTCATATTGTACCTTATTGTAGTTCTTTGCCAACTCCAGCATCTCCTTCACCACTGTTTCATTAAGTTTACAGTGCTCACTGTAGTCCTGAAGGGTTAACCCTTCCATCCAACTCTTTTTATGTAAGTTAAGCAACATCTGCAAACAAAGAAAAGAATTATAATCAGCACAGTTGTGGGTCTGAGTTATGAAAGAATCTGCTGTAATTAAGAGCAGATCATCACAGGTAAACACTTGTGGTCCACATTAGAAGCTCAGTTAAGGAGGGATGAGAAATCAGAAATCACTCTATGTCTGTCACAACTTGTAATAACGAACACCATGAGATCATTTTTTACAAACTAAGTTGCTGGTGGTGTTGAGAACACTACTGTGAAGTCCAAATTATATAGGGTAACGAAAGGTTACCCACCTGTAATTGTAGTTTCTTCAAGTGGACCTCTGTGATTCACACCGTGGGGTGATCCGCGCCTACACAAAGCCTCATCAGAAAGTTCTAGAGCTTCTGTGGTAGCAAAAAAACATATTAGAATAAGGCCCCTCCCCCCTCGTATAAGCACCTTGGCGCCAAGGCTCCCCTTTCAGTTGTGTCAACCGCCGCTAAATTAAGCAGAACAGTGTGACAGTAGGGAGGACGGGCGGGATGTGTGAATCACAGAGGTCCACTTGAAGAACTACAATTACAGGTGGGCAACCTGTCCTTCTTCGTGGCCTCTGTGAATCACACCCTGGGTGACTAAAAAGCTGCCTTACCCACAGGCAGGGTGTCACACCAAGGTAGAGGCTAGAACAGCACGTCCAAAGGCTGGATCAGACTTCTGCCAGAGATCAAGTCTATAATGCTGCATGAAAGTGGACAGCTGTGCTCATGTGGCAGAGGTGCAGACGTCTGGAAGAGGTACACCATGTAGGAATGCCATAGAGGTCATCACTGCTCTGGTGGAGTGAGGGCGAATCGCCTTCGGGACTGGTTTGCGTGCCAGCTGATACGCGAGATGAATGGTTGAAGCGACCCATCTAGATATAGTTTGAGACGTCACCTGGCAACCTTTACTAGGTGGTTGGTGACTTATAAAAAGTAGAGAACGCCTGAAAGTTGGGTGCTTTCAACGTAAAAAGCAAGAGCTCGCCTAACGTCTAAAGTATGGAGGATTCTTTCTTGAATTGTGGATGGTGACAGGAAGAAAGAAGGAATGATAAATGGCTGAGAGAGATGGAATTGAGATATGACTTTGGGGAGGAAAGAAATATCCATGGAGAGTTTGACTTTGTCCGTAAAAAACTGTAAATAAGGATAGTCATGACGTAAGGCCGCTAACTCACTAGGTCGCTGAGCTAAGCTGATAGCGACAAGGAAAACTGTTTTAAAGGTAAGTAGCCGTAAATTAGTTAAAGCTAAAGGTTCAAAAGGAGCTTTAGTAAGTTGATGCAGTACTAGTGTTAGTGACCATTGTGGGGAAGGCGGGCAGATACAGTGGTGCCTCGCTTAACGAGCGCACCGTTTAACGAAGAATCCGTATAGCGATCCCTTTTTGGGGATCGCTATACGGATCTGCCCCAATCGCCGCACTTGCTTTGCGACGATTGGGGCGTCCAGCGGCCATTTTGGAGCCGCCAAACAGCTGATCGGCTGCTCCAAAATGGCCGCCGGATGACCCGAAATGGCCCCTATCTGTGTTTTCGCGCCCTCCCCTTGGTTACGGAGGTCGTGAAAACGCTGCGAGGGGGCATTTCGGGTCATCCGCCGTTCCAATAGGCTTTCCTTGCCCGCACAGCGATGTTTTCGTATAGCGAAGGTTAATCCGGAACGGATTAACCTCGCTATACGGGGCACCACTGTATCAGGGTAGATATGAGATAGACCTTTAAAGAAAGTTTCAATGTTGGATGCTTGAAGAAATTAGCTGCCAGAGAGTTAGGGGGCTGATAAGAAACTATGGCGGAGAGGTAAACTCTCAAGGAAGAGAAGGAAAGTCCGCTAGACTTGAGATGAAGCAAAAAACATAGAACAGTAACAAGTGATGGGTTGATAGAAGGCAATGAAGAAGCTTCAGTGAAAGATCTGAATCTGTTCCATTTATACAGGTAAGCCTTTCTAGTGGAGGGCTTCTTTGATTGACAGAGGATGTTCATTAGCGAGGCGGAATCCTTCACGCTGCCAGGTGTAGAACAGGTAAGTCTGGGTGGAGGACTTGGGCGTTGTTCTGAGTAAGGAAGTGGGGCAGGCAAGGGAGATGGTGAAGACATTGTGAAGGACTGGAAACCAGGGTTGTGTCATGAGTACAGCTGAAGACCTGGAACCAGAAGGATTAACTGAGGCTGAGGAGAATGCTGAGGAATCAGAAACACCTGAATCGCCTCCAGATTCTCCTTCCCCAACAGACAAACTTCGGGTCAGGCTTCGGGGAAGACTTATGGCAAAGAGGTCAGATAATCGCTCAAAGGCTGTCCACAGAAACCTCCGTTCAACTAGCCCCGAGTACTGACAGGATGGAAAGGTTTCCAGCAGCTCAAGGGGCTGTTTTACTATAAAAGCAGCTCCTAGTCAGCTAGAATTCCGTGGAAGCAACAAGTCAAAACATCTGACTTGCATCCATGCTCCTACAACCTTGAACTGCGTTTCCTGAACTCCTGACTCTGGACTCGTACTTTGGACTACGTTGTGTGTTTGACCTTGGACTCTGACTTTGGATTACGTTCTGTGAGTTGGTTTTGTAATTGGATATCGGCTTTGCATTGCTAGTATTCCTGACTTTGGACTGGCTTATATGACCTCGGCTGTTGTAACCCCCGGGAACGTGACAGGTTGTCTTGGCCACCAAGGGACTATAATGATGGCATCGGGTTTGTCATGTTGTTGGCGAACCACAACCTTGTGGAGAAGCGGGAACAGCGGAAAAACATGAGGGTCTTGGGCCATCGGCCAACGAATGCATCTCCTTGGGAGTGTTTGCTGATGCTGGCTCGGGAGCAGCATGGGAGGCGAAGAGGTCGAGAGTTAGTTTGCCCCATCTTTCGCATAGGCAAAGAAAAACTGATTGGTCTAACTCCCATTCGTGAGCTTGAGAGTTTGTGCGGCTGAGTAGATCAGCCACGTTGTTGTTGTGGCTAGCAATGCGTAAAGCGATGAGGCAGATATGATGTGCAAGGCACCACTCCCTAAGGTTGACCACTAAATAGATGAGACTTGGGTAATGGGTGCCACTTTGTTTCAGAATATAGTACATTGCCATGGTGCTGTCAGTGGCAATTTGTATCTTCTTGCCAGTGAGGAGAGTTCTGAAAGCTTTGCAAGCTTTTATAACTGCCAACAGCTCTAATTCATTGAAGTGAAGCAACTGCTTTCTGGAAGACCACTTGGTGTGGATTTTTAGAGATTTGCAGTGAGCTCCCCAGACTGTGAGGCTGGCGTCGGTGGTGACCTGTATTTGTGGTCATGGTTGCTGGAATGGTCACCCGACGGATAGGTTGGGAGAAAAACGCCACCACTGAAGTTGGGAGGCGAGTTCTGGGGTGACCCTTAAAAGTGTGAGGAAGGTCTGTGAGCAGGTTGAAGAGGGCGAGAAACCACAACTGAAGAGATTTCATCTTGAGATGTACATGCTGCACTACTGAAGTCATAGAGGCCATGGTGCCTAGCACATGTTGCACAGTCAAGGTGGGTATCATAGAATGAGGGGTGAAAACTTGGAAGTAATGTGATGAGATTTTCTCTCTTGTATGGAGGAAAAAAGGCCCGAACTTGTGTGGAATCTATGCATGCGCCTATATAATGAATAATCTTTGTAGGTTTCAAATTATATTTTTGTTCGTTGACTGTGAAGGAGGGTAAGGGCGAAGTGAGTGTCTTATTAGGCCTTGTGACAGGAATGAGCTACGAGGCGCCAATCGTCAATATATGGAAATATGAGAATTTTTTTGCAACCTGAAGTAAGCAGCTACCGGTGCCATGCACTTGGTGAAGACTCTTGGAGCTGTTGCAAGGCCAAAAGGAAGCCTTTTGAATTGGTAGGCTTGTGATCCTAGCTGGAATTCAAGGAATTTTCTGTGTGAGGGATGTATGGAAATATGCAAGTATGTGTCTTTGAGATCTATGACATTGAACCAGTTGTTTTTGCGGAGTAAAGGGAGAACTGATTCGAGGGTAACCATACGGAACTTTGTGGTAATAATGTATTTGTTTAACTCTCGTAGGTCTAAGATAGGGCGAAGACCTCCATCCTTTTTGGGTATGGTGAAATAGCGAGGGAAAACCCCTTTGTTGTGTTGTGAGACATATTGTATGGTGTCTTTGAGGAGTAAATTTTTTATTTCCTCTTGTAGAGTTGGAGATGGTGGAGTGATGACGTGTGTTGCCAGAGAAAGTTGGAAGAAATGGATGCGGTAGCCGTCGCAGATGATGGACAGTACCCAGGCATCTGCAGTGATGGACTCCCAGACAGGTAGGTGTTTCCAGAGGGCAGGATGGGTGAAATGGTGTGCAATCTTGGCCCTGGGAGCGTCAAACGTGATGTTTGGGCTTGCGGTCGCTGCGCCTAGTAATGGGTTGTTGGCAGGGTTTATTTCTTTGATTTCTGAAATAGGGTGTATAAGATGTTTGTTTTGGAGGATCATGTTGGAATTTTTGATATGAGTTATACAGTTGTCTCCACTGATTTTGTTGGGGGCATTGTTGGGAAGATGGATGAATTCCCCAACGTCGAGGTCTAGTATGTTTTCCAAAATAGCATCAGTTTCAGCATTAAAGAGGCCTGCCCCGTCAAATGGAAGGTCTTCGATACATGCGCGGGCATCCTCAGCCAGGCCAGCTGTTCTTAGCCAAGTGAAATGTTGCAAGGCTACTGAAGTGGCCATTGACTTGTACTGTGTGCCTAGCAGAAAGCATCTGTTGTTTGGCAACGGAAAGCCCTTCTTGTTGAAAGATATGGGTGAGTACTTTTTTATCTTCTGGTAAAGCTTCAACAAAGGTTGACATATTGTCCCAAAAGAAACGTTGATATGCACCCATGGCTCCCTGGGAGTTAACGACACGCATGGTGAACACTGCTGATGAATAAAGCCATCTTCCCATTGAGTCAATCTTTCTACTGTCTTTATTTGGTGGCATGAGGATTTGTCCATGTCGAGATCTGGATTGT